GCAGAGGGGCAGAATCCCCCCTCACCCTCCCCACGCTGTGGAGAAGCATCTCAGGGCCTTTTTTCACATCCACAAACTCATTTTTTTATTTATCTCATGGCTGAGGAGCCGCCAGTGGATGTTCTCAGCAGGCTCTGGAAATGTGGCATTTGATGGCCACTGCAAACCTTTTAACATGAGACTTTCCACAGCTGGAATGTGGCCTCTGTGCAGGGCCCCTGTTTGCTGGGATGGAAAATGGGGCTGAGTTCTTTCCCAGGCGTTTTGCTGGAAAGCTGTCCCTGGCTTGCTGGGAGGTTGGTGGCCAGCTCTGCTCTGGCTGCAGCACTGGAGCACCCCCAGTACGGGACTGGGAGGTGTGGGAACAAACACACCATTATGCTCTTTCCTTCTGAGAGGCCAGGTTTTTGCCTGTTAAGTGTATTTTTAGCAAACTCATTCAGGTCCTTTTTGCGTGACTTCTGCAAAATTGGAATGCAATTACCTCCTTCCTACCGTTGCCTTATTAATTACCACGACGGACTTAAACTGATTTGGGACAGGATGTATCGCAGAGGATTGTGCCCTTTTTTTAAACTCTTCATCAAGTCCCCCATCACACTGGACCGTTAATCTTTCAGGAAAAGGGGGATGGCTCAGTGCCAGGCTCCTTCCTCTGGAGAGGCAATAACTGCTTCCTACTCCGAGTGACCCTCTGCATTAGGAGACCGTCGCTTCAGCACTAAGTAAATATTCATGAAATTACCTCCTGCTTTGAACTGGCTCGTTTGGAAACAGTCCTGGTCCTTCACAAATATTGCACTTGATTTTGTTTGTGGGTTGTTTCTTTTAGCAACGGGAATCAGGAAACGCAGAATAAATGCTGTTTGAAAATAAGAGGTAATGAAACAGCTGTGCTGTGTTTAAGCCACTTACTTGCCCTGGCAGGAGTGTGGTTTTGACCATTTTAAATACCTTTTATTTTGTATTACTAGGTAGATTTCTGTATTCACACGTCAGGGATAGATGCTGGTTGGAAATAATGATGGTGATTAAGGAATGTTGTGGTCTAGAACAGCATTTCTTATGGAATAATTGTGAACTATGAGTTTATTTACACGCTCTGAGTTTCATGTGTTTAAATTGTGCCCAGTCCTGAGCCCTCAACAGGAGAGACCTGGAGGGGCTGGAGCGTGTGCAGGGAAGGGAACGGAGCTGGGAAGGGGCTGGAGCAGCAGGAGGGGCTGAGGGAGCTGGGGGGGCTCAGCCTGGAGAAAAGGAGGCTCAGGGGGGACCTTCTGGCTCTGCAAGTCCCTGACAGGAGGGGGGAGCCGGGGGGGGTCGGGCTCTGCTGCCAGGGAACAAGGGACAGGAGGAGAGGGAACGGCCTCCAGCTGTGCCAGGGGAGGCTCAGGTTGGCCAGGAGGAGGAATTTGTTGCTGGAAAGGGTGGTGAGGCCTTGGCAGGGGCTGCCCAGGGAGGTTTGGAGTGCCCATCCCTGGAGGTGTCCCAGGAAGGCCTGGCCGTGGCACTCAGTGCTCTGGGCTGGGGGACAAGGTGAGGTTTGGTCAAAGGTTGGACTTGATGATCTTGGAGGTCTTTTCCAACCTCAGTGATCCTGGGATTCAACATAAAAATAAATAGATTTTTTTTTTTCTTTGGTACTTGTGTTAAATGGCACCCGTGAGCTGCACTGGAAGAAAACCATGGAATAAAATAACGTGGAAGCTGCTGAAGGCCTGGCATGGGCCAGTGTGTGGGCCTGGTAATGACACTGCATGAATAATTTTTCTGAATTATTAGAGTGATGAATATTCTCTCGCAGGGAACAATAGAGGAACTCTTATAGTAGCTATGACAATGTATTTTTAGTATCGACTCATTTTCAAATATGTCAAACTCAGCTTTTTCCTTCTTTTATTTGAAAAGATGGATGGGATATTTCCTGCTGTGACTGCCAAACCGTGGAGTGTGGTTTAGTCTGTGGTGGGGGGGGGGTGGAGTGAGATGATCTTTAAGGCCCTTTCCATCCCAAACCATTCTGTGATTCCATGAAATACTCCCATAAATAAGCAGCTGGGTCTCAAGGTGGTTGCTCCTCCATCCAGCACTGTTTCAAGGTGGCTGGGGGTGCTTTTCCCTCATGCTCCTTGTAGCCAGTGTCTCAACTAATAATCCTTAACTAATAACATCTGTTTCACTTACATTCAGGATGACTGAGCTTTTATCCAGACCCTTCTATGTGGGTATTTAGATGTGGCAGAGATAAAATTCTGTCACTGATGTCCCGGCCAGGGCGTTTTTCTCCTTAGTGGATGTGTTTTGTGCTGTGGTTAAAAGGCTTGGAATGGCTCGTGGGCCTCTGAGCTCCCCTGATGTGTCCGTGTTGGGGGCTGAGGGCTGTGAATCAGGTGGTTCAGGTGAGCTCTCACACTGCCAAAACACCAGGAATTCCCAAAGTTTGTTCCCATTGGGTACATTTTGCTGCTTCTCCCCAAAAGAGAATCATAAAGGTTGGAGAAGACCAAGATCATGGAGTCCAACTGGCTTCCTGCAGGTTTTCCTGCTCCTTTACCCTGGTTTAGACCAAATTTCCCAGCTCCTTCTCAAATCCTGCGCCGGGTCCGATTCCCACAAGGAGAGCATTGTTTTGTGCTGAGGGCAACAGGGGAGGTCTGACTTGAACCAGGAATTCCCTCCACCCTTTGTGGCTGTTCTTGCAGCCCCTCCACTTGAAAGGCTGATTTGTTTTATCAAGGAGAAAGCTTTATTTTGAGCCTTGGAATGAAGTAAATGCCTGAAATTGAAATGCAAGTTGGTATGACTGATGCCAAGGCCCTTGTTATGCTTTGCTTCTTGGGCAGGCAGTTGTGTAACGTTAATAATTAGTGTCTTTGTTAGGGTTTGGGGGGACCTGTGGGGGTGGCCAAGACCAAAAGAGCAGTGCTAAGCCAAGGCACAGCATGGGAACCTCTTCCACAGGAGGAGGGAGTAGGAAGTCAGGTTGTCTGGGCAGCCTTACAAATAACCAGCTTCTCACTGTGCTGAAGGGAACAAATAGCACAGATGAAGGGTTTGATTTGCACACAGAAGGAACTGGAGTGTTGTTGGGGTGTAAATTCAAACCAAGGTTCTCAGGAGCACAGTGGTTTTATAGCAGGGTTGTCCTGCAGACAGGACTTGGGAATTCTGGTCCCTTTTCATCACCTGGTCAGTCCTGATGGACTCTGATGGCAAGCAGAATGTTTTGCTGGAAGAACCTCAAAACTATGCAAAGCATCTCAGACATTATTGAGCCGGACCCGTGCTGCAGATAACTCTGAGGTGTCCTGCACAAGGGCTACACCAAAGGCAGGGTATCTCCAAGGCTTGGCTGGGTTTGGTCTCCTGAGATCCCCGTTTGGCTCCTTGTCAAGAAGATGCACTCCATTAGTGTGCCTTGCTTTGAAAGCCTCTCTTTGTGCTCGTGTTTCCAGAAGATAAAGCACTCCTGAATGCACCAGCTCTGCAGGGAGCTGCTGTGTGCCTGGGCTGTGTCACACCAGCAGATCACTCAGCCCACGGAAGGGGAGCTGCAGGGTGACAAGTGAAGGGCCGTGGGTGTTCTGGGGGCTTTGCTTTTGGTCTAGACCGAGATTTCACATTCTCAGCTGCTCATTTGCATGAACACTGGATGGTGTCGGGCTTGGCAGTCTGAAGGGAGGACTGGAAGGTTCACTGCAGTGACTCACCGTGTAGTAGCACTTTAATTGTAGAAATGGGAAGAATCTGGGGAAAATCAGGAAAAAAATCAGTGGTTCTGTTGCACGTTTTCCCTCGTGAGAGGACACGGGCAGAGGCATTTCTGGAGTGAGCAGGTTGGGCCATGTGTGCCCATTCCAGGTGGGCTCCCAGCGAGCAGGGGAACGGGGAGCTCAGTGTCTGTGTCCTCAGGAACAGCTCCTTCCTTGCCCAGCTTGGCAAAGTGGCCACCGAGGGCTCCAAACTTCCAACCCGCTCCTGTGCCCAGCCAGAGCTGCACGGGGAGTTCTGTGCACACTGACAGGACTCAGGAATTTTCCACGTAGTCAGCAAAGAAGTGAATTAAAGGTGGTGTTATTCCTGTACCAGGGCTGCCTCCTGGAGTGATTAGAACACCCTTAGATTAAGGCTACAAGAATCAGCGCAGCAGCACACTCTGGTGTGCTCCAGTTTGTGTAAGGAATAGAAAATATAATAAACTCAGTCATAAATCCTTTAATTTCGTGTTTGTATTTCCTCTCAGTTCTGTGTATGGAAGATATTCCAAGTAGCCACGTTATTCTTTGGTGTTACACAGACATGAAACTTGTAGCTAAAAGAGGATCTTGCAACCGTCTGGAATCTGTTTTTATTTCGATACCTGCTGTATCTAAAACTTGATTACAACAAATAATTACAAGTTAATGTTTCTGTAATATTTTTTTTTTACTTCTCTGCGTGTTTTTAGGGAAAATGCTGAATTTTTTCCCCCGAGGAAATACTCACTGGGGCAGTGTGTGATTGTGCTGAAGGTCACTACAAATGAGCTGGGCTGGTGGATAAAATCTTGTCTTTCTCTTTGTGCCACAGGTCCAAGGAGCTGATAAAGGAAGCAATCCTTGACAATGACTTCATGAAGAACCTGGAACTGTCCCAGATCCAGGAGATTGTGGATTGTATGTACCCCGTGGAGTATGGCAAAGACAGCTGCATCATCAAGGAGGGAGACGTGGGTTCCCTGGTGTACGTCATGGAAGGTAGGGTTGAAATCCCCTTTTATTTTAACATGTGCAGTGATAAAAACATTGTTTCATGGGAAAAATAATTTCGAAGGAAAAGGTTGAAGGTGTTGTCTAAATATGGTGGTTGAAAAATTGTGTGGATTACTGCTGCCTGGAAAATTTCTGCCTGGATTCGTGCACCTCCCTATATAAAGAAAGGGGGTGAAAGCTGTTAACCTTGCACTGAGATCCCTCAGAATAAACCTCCACTAAATATAGTTCTTTGGCTTTGAGACAATACTGTATAAATTAGGGACTCAACAGAAGGACTGGTGTTCTGGAAATGGGAAAAGCCTGTTAAAACAAGGAGAACGTGGTCACAGCCCACTCCTTGTAGGGCATTGGGAGGGCAGGGCTATGAATGCTGGCAGAGCACATGGGGCTCTCAGCAGCAGCCGTGCTTGGGATAATAGGAAATGGTCTTTTCCCCTCCTGGGCACAAAATAAGTGTAGCAGCTGCAGTTTAGCACATCTGATTTGTCCCAGTGTGTGTTGTGGCAGGGGTTTGTTTTCCGGGTGGGACACGAGAGCAGTGGAAATTCAGGTTTCTGAAAACCTTCCCAGGGGATCAGTGTTGCCAGTGCTGCTCTTCTCCAAAATGGCAGCTCTTTGCATTTGGTATCTTCTCCTCCTTTCCAAGTTTCCTCGCTCTTCACGTGGCAAACTGAGCAGATTTTAAGTATGTTTGGGTTTTTGATTTGTCAGGAAGTGCATGTCTGCTGTAAGAGGTACTAAGCTTGGTCCATCCAGCATCCCTCTCCTCAGAGTGAGTTTTGAGGGAAATGTCCCTGTTGTCATTCAGAGAACACAATCAGCAAATTCCTGGTGGGATTTGGTACCATGCAAATGGACAGATGATTATAGAGTTCTTCTTGCTCCTCTCCAGAACTGTCTGGTAGGCTCAAAAACATTTTGGCCAGGTAACACCTGAGGGGAGTGGAGGTTTCTTGCTTGCCCATATGTACATTAATGCCTGAAATTGTTCTTTGAAACAAAACTATTTCCAGGGCAGTAAGCCATCCTCTAAACAAGGTTTCCTGCCAAACTCTCGAGGCCGTATAGCTGCAAATGCTCTTCACTAGTTTCCCAAAACAACTTTAATCTTCTGTCCTTTTAAGGTTAAGTCCTTTCTCAAGGCACAGGTTTAATTCCTTTGGCTTTTCACAGTTTGAAATGTTGCACGTTCAGGTGGTGTTTCAGTGAAGTGTTTCTGCTCCCAGCATTACGTGGAAAAATTTACACTTCTCAGTCCTTTGTTTGAGTACTTGGAGGTGCAGAATCTGTCCTGTGGATAATATAAAACCCTGCCTTTAAATAGCATTTTTTTTTCCTAGTGAAAACGTGGAGGTTTTTCCCTGCCCAGCTCCGTGCTTGCTTCTCAAAGCCCCCTCACGTCAGAAGGTTGCTCGTGGTATTTTTGTTCATCCAAAGCAGCTGGTTTTGGATGTTGTGTTCAATGCTGTCCCTTGAAAACCCCCCTGTAACAACTGGGCCTGTTAAAATCAGGGTGTGCTTCTCTCCTGCTCAGCCTCCTCCCATTCCTTGGAGGGGATTTTTGGGGGGGGATTTATGGGCAGAGCTGTGTCCACCATGGTTTGCATTATTGAACAGGGCTTGGTACTCAGATAACTCTATTATTTATCAGATTTGATTACATTTATTATGATTGTTTATCAGCTGGCCATCTGATGATGAAGGTACAACAAACATGTGCTAAAACTTCTGTGTCTGTTGGGCACTGGAGCTTGTTCTGGCAGCCCTGTGGGGGTGAGGGCACGACTTGGCTCTCCCCCAGTCTTTGCTTGGCCTTGTAACTTAATTTAAGGTTATTTAGATAGCTCCCTAAATATGCATAATGCCCTGCAAACAGAATTATGAAGAGCTGATGGCCTATGTTTAGACATAATGCAATGAGTGGTGGTGAAGTCATGGAAATGGAAGAAGGCTGTATGGAATGGGCTGGACTATGGTTCTGAGAAGGGGCTCAGGAGCTCAGTTTGCCTTATCATTCCGTGTCATCTCTCAATTACAAACACACTACACCCAAATATAAACTCTTCTGTGTCATCTCTCAATTACAAACATACTACACCCAAATATAAACTCTTCTTTACAAACCTCTACCGGACAAACCCATCTCGGGGCGTTACTGAGAGGTATTTCTCAAAAAAACCCAAACAAATAAATGCCGTTTTCCTTCCACTAATTCTTTCCTTTCTTGGCCTTCAGGCCGTGATTAAGACTGATAAAATATTAGTCCTGGAGGTGATTTGGTGGCCAACACTCTTGAGCTTGTTTGTAATTTATGATTCAGCATTTAGACAGAGTGTCTTACCAAAAGCCTGAGCTGTGCACTGGGGCTGTTTGCTGGCCTGATTTTATGTGATAATTTAAGTGAGATGGATTTGGGAGCCTCCATCACGTTTGCTGTTCCTTGCTGGGCTCTCGTGTGTCCCGGGGAAGCAGCGGCGCCGTCGGGTCTGATTTTCTCCTCTGCAGACACGAGGACCCTGCTGGTCCTGATGAGACCTCTCAAGTGATGATCCTCGAGTGTTCTGCTTCTCCACCCGGAATGTTAAAACCCGTTTGCTGAGCTCAGTGAATCTTAAAACGATGATGAGTGTTGACCTCAGATTCCTCCTTCTTCAGCAGAGCTCGATGAGGCTTTAACCACAGAATGGTTTGGGTTGGGAGGGACCTTAAAACTGCCTAAATGCACCCCCTGCCGTGGGCAGGGACACCTCTTTACATCATTTTGAATCTTTGTGTGTCCCTCAGCGGCCAGCTGGGGTCTGTGTGATCATTAAAGAGGAACACAGAGTGTGTCCTGGGCCTGGGAGACACTTCCCAGGACGGAGATCCCGGTGAGGACGTGGAGAGCTGTGGGATTGGGGTGATCCCAAGCAGTGTTTCTGTTCCCCACCAAGGTTTTCCCTGGAGCCCCATGGGAAGGGAGCTGGTTTTAATGGGCTCTTGAGGCAAAAAGCACATGTCCATTTGTCCTGGGGGGCTCTCATGAACTTGCAGAAGGATTTACCTGAAATACCAAAGTAGGAACTGACATTCCTTCAGGTTCTGCCGTGTTTCAAGGTAGGGAACAACCCCCAATCCCCTCATGTTCACTAAGAAACCCCCCCAACTTTTGCATATTAACTGAATTGGGTAAAGAGAGGTGGGCAACACAAAAAAAAAAAACAAAACTGACAGCTGTGCACTGAAGGTGGAAATGAATGTATTTGTGAGAGCAGGGGAAGCATTAAACATTGATGTTGTGGGCACCTTCAGCAGGAGAGTTCTCCCAGGCTGAGGAGACCGGGAGGGAGAAGGGTAAAATAAACATGTCAGAAATATCCCCTCTGCTGTGAGAAAGTTTGCTGCTCCAAGAGTGGCTCAACAGATTGTTTGTCTTAAAACTGAAGGGTTTTTAGAGCCAAAAAAGGTTCTCACTGGTTAATCATATTCTGCCTCTAAAATGAGTCCACCACCTCCAGGTTTTTGTTTGTTTGTTTTTTTTTTTAAGGGGAAAAATATCCCTAAACACTTTGCAAGTTGCAGTTTTGCAGGTTTGCACCCTGCCTTTGGCCATAACATCTCTAAAATTCCCTGCAAGCCCTTTAAAGATGTGCAGAGCTGGCGAGGTGTCTCTCGGGGAGGCACATCTTCGATCTGCGCCGCGGTGACAGGTTGGAGCTGCGTGTGGGTGCTCTCCTCACACTAATGAGGATAAATGTGATATCCCACATCTGAAACCAAATGTTTCCCCCCTGTGCTCCCGCTCTGGCTGAACCTGTCAGCTGCAGCGTGTCACATTTGATGTCTGCATTAGGAGGGGAAGATCCATCAGCGGGGCTGTGCATAAATCAGGTGACAAGGTACAGGTTTTGGGCTCTCATGTGAGTAACAGTCACACCGTGACAAACAGACACCCTCGTTTTTTTTTTTTAGAAACTATATTAATAGGTGTTAAGGCTCCTCCTTTTATGGTCGTTGCTGTTTTCATAAAGTATGGGAGAAGTAATGCAGCCAGACAGGGGGGAAAAGGAAGGTTTAAATCCTCGGATTAACTCCTCTGTCACTCGTGGTTCTGTGCTGTGACATCCTCCCTACCCATCCTCATGCACCTCTGCACCACAGCTCCAGAACCTGAGGGAAGAAAAAGATGCTTCTCTAGGCAGGGAAAAGGAAGAAGCAGCAGCAGCTTTTCAGGAACCATGCTGAGAAGCAGCCTACACTTCCCCAGCCCTTGTTTTTAGTAGTTTTCCTCTCCTCTTAAATTTTGTTTTATTTTCGTCTTCAGCCGTGAGGATTTGCCTTTTGTTTCTAAAAGAGGCTTTGTCTCTTGCTACGTTCCTTGGTAGCTTCTCCAGAGGAATGAAGCATTTTAACTGTGTGACTTGCCATGGGAATGTGGGTTTTTGGGAGTCAGAGATGTCTTGGGAAGGAACCTATTCCTAGAAACCTCCGGCTTTGCCAGGACATCAAACTGGGTGTTGATAAGGGAAGACAAACAAAGCCTCTGGAGCTGTTTGAAGTACAGAGAGAAGTGCAGGAGGCTGTAGCAGACCTCCCACGTGGTCTCAGAGGGGTGAAATCCTCCTCTGGGACTCTTTGTGTCATTCCCCCTCTGAGCCCTCGTTTTATGGACTGATCTCATCAGGATCTGATTTAATAGGACTAATTGCTCTTGCAGGGCCTCCCGAGCCAGTCCCTTCTCCTCTCAGGGAAAGGATTAGTAGGACTGACACTTGCAATGAAAGAGAAGTGGAGAACAGAGGCCTGGTTTGGGATTTAGGCAGGCTAAAGGATCAGAGGGCTGGAGCAGCTCTGCTGGGAGGAAAGGCTGGGGGAGTTGGGATTGTTCAGCCTGGAGAGGAGAAGCTTTGGGGTGACCTGGTTGTGGCCTTCCAGGGCCTGAAGGGGCCGACAAGAAACACAGAGAGAGACTATTTCCAAGGGCCTGGAGTGGCAGGACAAGG